GCCGCCCCCATGGAACCCGAGGCCCCGGATTCCCGCAAAAGGCCCCTCGAAACGCCCCCCGAGGTGGTCTGCACCAAGCGCAGCAACACGGGAGGTGAGAAAGGGCTGCGGCTCCGGGTGGGGGAGCGGGCAGGGGGCCGCGCCTTTCTCCAGCCTCCTCCCCCCCAAATGGCAGGTGCAAGGGCTCTGGGGAGGGGAAGGGCGCCCCTCCCTAGACTGGGGAACGGAGAAGGGAGTTGGGGAGGGAACAGGACCCCTTCCCCCTCTCGCCGCGGCCCTGGGCTGGGAGCTTTGTCTGCGTTGAGAGGACTTGGGGGGGAGGGGGTGGTAAGTGTCCTTGGGGGCGCGCAAAGGATGGGGGGCGTGGGTGCCTCCGATCGGGTGTCTCTGTGTCCTTGAGGGGTGTGTGATGTGACCCTTTCGGGGCAGGGGTGTTCCCTGGCTGGCGTGTCCTGGTGGGGGGAGGGGAAGGAGCTGAGGAGGCCTGTGGACCCGGAGCTTCCCAGCCTCCCTCCCTGGGGATGTCCTGAGCAAGGGTTGTCCCGGACGGAGGGAGGCATGTGTGGGCCATGGGCGGGATTTTGCGTGGGGACAAGCTAGGTGGGTGTGTTGGGTGACATGGAGGAAAGGGTGGGTGTGTAAAGCTCAGTGAGAGAATGTGTGGCTGGGACAGGTGTGTGTGTGTGTTCGTGTGTGCGTGTGAGCCCTGTAAGGCCTGGATGTGTGACATTAGGGATCATGGATATGACAGGAAGGAGGGTGTGTGTGTGTGTAAGAGATGAGAGGGTGAGAGGGACTGGGCTCCGTGTTTGAGACCCCCATAGGGGTATATGTGACAAGTGCGTGCATGTCACTCCAGAGGGGACTGTGGCAGAGTGTGACACATGAGTGAGAGGGTGTGTGTGACATGCAAGGAGGTGTGTGTGGGCTGCCGAATGGGCCGGCTCTGGGTGTGAGCCATGAGAGGCTGTGTGGATCAGAGGATGGCAGCTCAGTGTGTGTGACACAGGCGTGTCCTGGGTGGGGTGGGACCAGGAGAAGCTGGTGTGGGTATATGACAAGAAAAGAGTGTGGGCGTGACTCCAGAGAGGCTGTGGCTGGGTGTGACACACGGAGGTGTGCAACGGTGACATCAGAGGGGGTGTGTGCAACAAGGGAAGGTGGGTGTATGACAGGGGAGAGACTGGGGCTCTGTGGTGAAATTCATGAGGGTGTGTAACAAGGAAAGGGAAGGATGGGGACCCATGTGACAGGGTGCAGGAACGTGTGCATGTGACACCCAAGGGGTGGGAAAAGGGAAGGTGTGTGTGTGACACCCAAGTGTGTGTATATGTGTAACGAGGGGCTGTATGTGAAATGGTTGGTGTGGGGATGATTCTGTGTGTGTGTGACAAGGGAGTGTGTGTGTGTGTGTGTGTGTGTGCGCGTGTGTGATGGCTGCATGTTTGACAACACAGAAGGGGTGTGTGTGTAAGACAAGAGGGAGCCTCACTGTGTGTGTGTGAAGAGGGATGTGTACCAGAGAATAAAAGCCAGGCTGGGAAGTCTAGGTGTATGTCCGCCCCTGAAGTAGGGCTCTCAGGGGACTCAGAACCCAGCCCATTAGCTCCCTGGAAGGAGGGAGACCCCAGAACAGACAAGCCCCTCCCAGCGGTCACCTTGGCCAGAATCTCCGCTTCCTCTGGCCTTTTCCTCCGGATGGGAAAGGGATGGCCTCGGGCATTGTAGTGGGTGGGGTGGGGACCTCCCACCTCCTCTCCTTGGATGAACAGGAGCCATCTCTTCCTCCCGTCCCAGCCCCCTGCCACCCCTGGCCAGGTGCGATAGGAAATGGGGAACCCCTGGCTGCCCGTGAGGGTGTCCAGCAGAAATTGGAGGAAAGGGAAGTTGGGGGGTGGGGAGGGAGCTTCCTGTCCTTCCTGCTCCCCCACCCCCAGCACACACATGAATGTGTCCCTGCCACATCCTTGCCTCCTTCCTGCCTCACTGCCATTCCCAGCCCTAGGAAGGGTCGGGTACCCAGGCGGTCCCTGAACCCAGCCTGGAGGTCCAGCCCCACCCCTGCTGGGGGGGAGGGGAGAAGGTCTCATCCTTCTCTTAAAGAGGCTGAGATGCTCAAAATCTGAGCACTCAGAGCACAGCAGCACCACCTAACTGTGATGCTGCCAGGACGTTCAGGTCCAAGTGTTTGGTACCTACTACGTACGAGTCAGGCTCTGAGATACGGGTTAATTTCCCAGTACAACCCTGGGGGAGATGATTTGAGCTGCTTTTTCAGATGAGGAAAACTGAGGCTTAGCGAAGTGAAGCCACTAGCCCGAACTCACACAGCTCATAGTGGGGAAGCTGGGATCTCTCCAGCCCTGGGCTGCCTGGCTCCAGAGCTCATGTGCTCAGCCACTGTGCATCCTGCCTCCTTCAGCTGTGGGGAAACTAGGGTGAGCCCTTAGGGACCCTCTCCTCCAGACTCTTCCCAGGGGAAACTGAGGCCCAGAGATGCGAAAGGACAGTCCTCCATTTGCAGAAACCCTCAGGGGCAGGGCTGGGCAACTGTCCAGGACTTTCATCTCAAAATTGACGGCTCCTTCCAATAATATTTTCATGTCTGTGGGACACTGGGTCAACCTCACGCCTTTTCTGAGCTTCAGCGTCACCATCTGCCAAATGGGGAAATAACAATAGTTACAGATGATAGCAGCTACCAGTATTCTTGCTTACTGCCTTACATGCAACATTTCATTTAATTTTCCCAACATTCTAGGATGTGATACTAGTAGTAATAAATAAATAATAATAATAAATTATAACAATGGCTGACAGTTATGGTGCCACAGTGCACCAAAAGTATTAGGGGAAACACTGGGCACGGACCAATCATTCAATAATCCTTACAATCTGATTATGTTACCCATCTTACAGGTGACACACTGAGGCACGGAGAGGTTAATTAACTTGCCCAAGGTCAGTCAGCTAATAAGAGGCAGAGCCAGGATTTGAACTCAGGAGGCTGGCTCCATTGGATGGGTAGACCCTGTAGTGAACCCCATTTTCAGGCAAGCAAACCAAGGCTCAGAGGGGTAAGGGACTTTCTAGGGTGTCACAGCAAGTCGTGCCAGCCTCGGCAGATTGGCTCCTACCCGTGGTGCCAGCCTAGGGGCTGATAGAGGAGATGGTGGCTTTTAAAACTGGCTTCTGGGCACTGTGACTGGCAGGCAGACACCGTTGGGAAGGAGACAAGGCGCTAAGGACAGGAGGGCTTGAATGAAGAGGTTGGATGGAAACTCCAGTTGGGGACTCAGTGGAGAAACAAATAATCCCAGTCTGGTGGCACGGTAACAGAGTGTCTCCCTTGAGTACAGACGATACCTCTTTTTCTTTCTTTGGCCACGCTGTGTGGCTTGCGGGATCTTAGTTCCCTGACCAGTGAAAGCTCTCAGACCTAACCACTGGACCGCCAGGGAATTCCTACAGATGATAACTCTTAAGGTGCTACTAGAATGGCCCCCATACTCCTGACTGTATTCCCACCTCTGTCAGCCCCATATACACAGAAACAGCAACTCCCTACCACACACACACACCTCACACCGCAAACGTAGCTTACACCAGCCAGGCCTTGTTCCCAAGATCCTCGATCGTTAACACAAAGTCAGTATCATCAAGGTTAAGGGCCCTAGAATGAGAGCTTCCAGGGTTCATCTCATCACTGTCATGTGCTTGGTGTGGGACCCTCGGGTGAGTTCTTTCACTGCTCTGAGCCTCAGTGTTCTCATCTGGAAAATGGGAACTGTAAGATGCACCTCTACCTCTCCAGGCTGTTGTGTGGGTTCAGTGAGATTGTATGTGAAGCACACGGCATCAGGCCTGGCAGATAGTAAGCACTCAATAAACAATAGCTATTATTATTACTATTATTATCATCATCATTATTATTGCTGCGGAGAATGTCACATTCCTGATTTACTCTCCAGTGGTGATTCGCCCCAAGGAAATCATTACCCCATCCGCCTCTCTCTCACTTGGAGACAATGTCACAACTCAAAGACGGTTGTATTACATTTCTCACATGGACAGGCAACACCCTCATTCACAGAAAGGTGTCACCCAACCAACATCCCATCCCTCCTCAGGGGTCCCACTCCCAACCACACCCCTGCCATCTTGTCTTCCGCCAGCGACATCCTCACGTACTCCCAACGACAATATCACCCCAGCCTCCTCATACCTCCACAGGACACACCGATGCTTCCACCTCCGACCCCCAGACAAGAGCAGGAGCCATGAGTACAACACCCCAACTTTGGTTCCCCCTGAAATATACTGTCACCAAAACAACACCTCTGCTGCATCCAATTCTGCCCCGTCTCCCAGATCCAAGCCACCTTTCGGGATCAACTCTCTGTATAAAGTGCCACTCTTCCCATAGCACCCCAAATCTTCTGGGTAGGTTAACATTATTTGTGGAGGTAGGGGAATATTGGTTACTTTTTGGAAACTTTTATAAGCATTCCTGAGGAGGGTGGGCACAAAAGGGAAGGGGGGACCAGAGACTCAGAATGACTAGAAAGTGGAAAGGCAGCTTGATCCCAAGGTGGAAATATTGAAATCACAGCAGAGGGGAACCCGGAGCGCTGAAGTTGGCATCTTCATTTGCTGTCCTGTGTAGAGGGAGCTGCCTGGACCCCAAAGGAAAAGGGAAGGGAAGGGTGGGTGGGTGGAAAGTTCTGGCATCTAGACTTTGCTTTGGTAGAAGGAAGTACTCTTTCACAGGCAGAGCCTTGGTTTTTCAAACGGGGTGGGATGTGTGAGGTCTGGGGACTCCGGGTTTAGCTGAGGTGAGGTCACGTGTCTGCCCTTTGCCACAAGGCAGGCTGGCAGAGAAAGGCCTGACTTCTTCCTGGGGGAAGTGGGCTTCCCACGGTGGGAGATGCAAAAGATTCTGAAGAAAACCAGAGCAGACTGTGGGCTGCTATGGGGACTCCTGGGACTTAGAATCCTGAGCTTCCACAGACGAGAGGAGGACCCTGGCCTCTGAGGAGGGGCCTCCAGACTTCCACTAGTCTGATATAAGGACTGCCAAGCGCCCACAAGGTGGTTTAAGGGGGTCCACGGACAGACTTTTTTGGAGGATCATTTTTAGTTTATATCAGTGTGCTTTGGGAGGAAAAAATATAACCAGCCCTTCAAACTCGGACTATTAGCAATGATTTTTAAAATGTCCTCTTTAAATAGATGTATTTACATTTTAAGAGGGAGTGGACTTAAAGGGCATGGACTGTCTGTCTTGTTCCCTGCTATGTCCCCGGGATCTAAAACAAGGCCTGGCACGTAGCAGATGCTCAGGAAGGATTTGTTGGAACGAGGGAGGGAAGAGAGAGAGAAGAAGCAAGGAAATAATAGTACAGAGGGATACAACAAGGGCCAAGAGAGTTACAGAGATGCTGGGAGGGTGAGTGGAAGCAGAGCCTCGTTTCTATCAGTGAGAAGACATTCCTCCTCCAGAAAGCAGGGAGAAGCCTGGGGAAAGGTGATGAAGGAAGTGGGGTCTCCCCTTCTCCTATTTCCTAACAAAACCCCAAACCTTGGAGGCTCATTTCCCCATTTACCAGTAAGTCTCTCTGACAAAGAGCACTTACTGTGTACCAGACACTGTGATAAGAACTTTACCTGTGTTCATGAAATAGGTAGTATTAATAACGATGATGATGATATCTGACATTTCTCAAGTGGTCCATGTGCCTGAGACCCTCCTAAGTACTTTACATTTTAGCATTTCATTAATGATAATAACTCCAGGAACTAGCGCTCTCCTGTCCCCATTTGACAGATGAGAAAACAGAGGCCCAAAGAGGTGAGGAGACTCGCCCAAGGCCATACAACCCATCAGTGACAAAAGTTGCACTCAGTCTAGGGCTGTTTCTGCCATTTAATTCGGAGATTCTCAGACAAAACCTGAGGAAATGTGAAGGAGGGGAGTGGGGGGGCGTCCCCAGTTTTCTTCAGAGCAGACGATTACCTTCCATCTTCAAGAGGGAAGCTCTGGCTGGAGAAAAGATGGGGAATGAAATCAAAGAAGGAAAGAGGATGGAGTTCTAGTGAGAACACCTTCCCACCTTTCTGAACCTTCCAAAGCTGGAGAACTGTCTCTGTCAGGTTGAGGGGCAGGGCTGGCAAGGGGCCACCTCTGTGAGCCCAAGGAAGGAAGTAATTTGGTGGGGGAGGGTGTCAGGTTGATTGATGGAAGGGCACCCTGGGGGGCCAATTACCTAATAGGCTTAGTGGTCTGATTAGGCAAGTTTAAGAGGATTGCCTTGGGCTAAAGGAAACCCCTTAATTCTGGACCCCTCCCCATGCCTGCAAAGCCACATCCCGCCCTCATACCTCCATCTTCACACATCAGGGAAACCAGAACTTTCAATCTTAAGGGACCAGGTGGAGATGGGCATGACTCCCAGACCCCCAGTCCTGCCCCCACTTTTATTTTAAATTTTAAAATTTTTGGCCGCACGGTGCGGCATGCGGGATCTTAGTTCCCCCACCAGGGATCAAACCCGCGGCCCCTGAAGTGGAAGTGCAGAGTCTTAGCCACTGGACCGCCAGGGAAGTCCCACCCTGCCCCCAGTTTCAACAGAGCAGTTTCTCTTTTATCTGCTCTGGACGTTGGAGTTTCACGGGAGACATTGAAAATAGGTTTCCTTTGCTTAAAAGAAAAAGTTGAAAAACCAGTGGGGGATGATGGCCTAAGACCTTAAGCTTTGGAAGCAAAATGGCCTGGCTCGTCCCTTCCTTTTCCCAGTGTTTATTGCATGCCTACCAAGCGCTGGGCGCTGCATGAGTCCATGGACACAAGGGCGAGCTTCAGTGATGTGGCCTACACTGGATGACTGTGGTACATCGTTCCGAAGGCATGAGACAGAGGGATCCTTCCCCTCCTCAGGGTTCCAGTCCAAGAAGGGACATTTAAGGGGGGAACCTGAAGGACAAGAGGATTTCACTGAGGGAGGGCAGTTCCAGGCAAAGAGAATGTGCAGAGGCCCTGAGGTGGGAGGGAGGAGGGAAGTTTGAGGAACAAAAAGGAAAATGTGTCTAGTGCACCTGGAGGAAGATGAGGGTGTGCAGCTGGAAATGTGGACGGGGGCCAAATCACAAAGTAACTTAGACTCAGAAAGGTCCCGAATGTCTACCCTGGACGCGACAGTTTGGTTAGAAGGTGGGAAAGGTTAGGCACTTGCCTTGAGACTGCATTAACAAAGGGCTTTACGGGTGACCAAGAAAGCGGGTCCATAACAAAGAATGACCAAAGCCCCGTAAAGGGTCCTTGGTGTCACTTCACCACCTCTAGGCCTTTGAGTCTGTCCTGGAGCACATTGGTCTTTAGCCACCAGCAGGGGAAAGTGTTACGCATGGGTGGGCGAAAAATGAATCAGAGTTGCATTTGAATCTCAACCCAGCAACTGTCTTGGTGCCCTTGCGCCGGTACCTTCACTGCTCTGTGCCGCTCTGTGCCTCAGTTTCTCCTTATGGAAAAATGGAGCTCATTCGACCCACCTCAGCGGGCGGTTGTGAGGAATGGATGAGATCAAGCTGGCAAAGCACTCAGCAGAGCACTGGCTCAGTAGTGAGTGTTAGAACCTCTCCCGAGTCCAGCCCTCCTCTCCCCTCCCCCTTCGCTGCTTCCACCAGTCAGACCACCATCACTTCCTGCCTGGACCATTGCAGGAGACCATGCTCTTCCACCCATGCTTGTCACAGTCTGCTCACCTCATGAGCATCAGAGGGATCTTCTTAAAGTCTAAGACAGATCACATCCCTCCTCTGCTCAGAGCCTTCCCGTAGCTCTCATCTCACTTGGAATAAAAACCACCTTGGTCCACAAGCCTGAACACTCCACCACTACCTCCAACCCTCTGAGCCCTCATTTCTTCTAACTCTCCTCTCTCACGCAGCCCCAGCAACACTGGCCCCCTCTCTCTCACTCAAACAACGCAGGCATAACCCCATCCCAGGGCCTTTGCACTTGCTCTTCCTCCACATAGCCCCATAGTTCTGTTTCCTCCTCGACAGTCTGGAAACAGTGTATCATAATGGTTCAGAGCATGGACTCTGGAGCCAGGTGGGGTTCAGATCTCAGCCCTGCCACCTACTAGCTATGTGAACGGGAGCAATTTCTTCACCTTTGTTTACTTATCTGGAGAATTTTTTTTTTTTAAGTACCTCCCTCAGCCTCAGTGTGAAAATGAAAAAAAACTCGTATCTGTAAATTACTTGGAACCGAGTCTAACGCATATTGGGTGCTATAGAAATGTTTGATGAACAAAGAATGCCGCATTCTTGGGGAAGGCTTTCCTGGCCATCGGATCTGTCAGTGCAGCACCTACACTCCCCTTCCTCTTTCCTGCCTCTTTTTGTTTTCTTAGTACTTAGCACCATCCGACAACGTAAAACATACTGTCTGTCTCCCCCTCTAGAAGAGTGTAGCTGTGTGAGCTCTTGGCTGAATCACCAAAACTCTTTTGGCCTTATTTGCCTTATTTGCGAAATCAGGGAGCTTTGTCTGTTTTCTTCATGGCTGTTTCACTAGAACGGTGCCAAGCACGTAGCAGGTGCTCAGGAATTATTTGCGGAATGAATGAATAAATGAGCGAATGAAGATCATGGCGTGTTTTATTTTCCTACTGCTATTCTCTTGGCCATTGCTTCTGTGTTACTGTGATCCCAGTGGTTTCCTAGCCCAGCCCATGCCAGTGCCTCCCTGGAGGTACCGTCCAAAGGTGAAGAGCCTTCTCCCCTGACTCCCGTCCCCTCTGTGTGCCCCTGCAGAGGAAGGCGAATACTTCCTGAAGGTGCTGATCCCCAGCTACGCGGCGGGCTCCATCATTGGCAAGGGCGGGCAGACCATCGTGCAGCTGCAGAAGGAGACGGGAGCTACCATCAAGCTCTCCAAGTCCAAAGACTTCTATCCGGGTGAGCCCCTGCCCAGCCCTCTTCCTCCGGCCTCCCATCCCTCCCACCTGGGCCCTCTAGGAGGGGGAAGGGCTGCCCTAGGGGCAGTGAGAGTGGTAGGGGGCCTCCCTTCCCCCTAAGGGGACAGAGCTGCCCTCGGCCCCAGGGGCCAGGCCTGAGCAGATGGGGGTGGGGGCAGGGCAGGACAATGGGGCTGCTGCATATTCATGAGCTCATTTGCATGATGTGCTGGCAGATGTGCCCCTTCCCACACACCTGCCCCTTTGGGTCAGTTGGAGGAGCTGGTGGGGGGGGGGCAAGGAGGCAGGTGTTAGGGTGTCCCTCAGGGCT